TTTTTGGCTATGTTTCATCCCTTTGACTCCTTCCTTCATCCAATTAACCTCTAACACTCTTAAATGTTCATCACAAGGTTAGAAACAAGTTTAGAGTGTTTGCTCTTTAGTCCCTGAGCTTTTACTTTCTTCCATTTTGTTCCTTTTTCGCTCTTTCTTCAATTTCCCACCGTTTTCACCCATTTGCAATGTAAACCAAGATATAGAAGTACTTAGTGCATTTAGGTGTCAAATAATAATAGAAACGCAAATATTAATGGGTAAAAAAGTAACAAATGTGCTATTATCAAATACAAAATTTTAAAACTTTTGTTACTTTATTTCTGAAGTCCAAGCATGACATAAATAATCACACATGGATTTGGGGGACTATTGTTATGACTCATCACCAGGGACTGCCACGTGGACATTAAAATTAAGTTGTGGGACCTGATCCGACCCAACCACCTTAGCCGAGGCTTTGCTTCTATACATACCGAGGCCCTGTTAGACCGAGGCCAGCAGAGGTTCAATTACTTATGAGGGGCCTCCTGGATTCTCAGCTTGTGACTGCCCACATGCAAGGATTCGTTCATGATGATGATCTTTATTTGAATGATTGATGTGACCTTTATGAAAAGTGTATTTGTGTATTGTCTTGTCAATGTACGAGCATGTAATGCTTTGTAAAGGTAGGAGGGTCAGTATGATAGCTAGGATTTAATGTTTCATCCAAGAAGATGAGGCCACGTGTAATCTGATCCAAGGGCCACCATTTCATTTGTAACACAATAAATACTCCCACCATGTAACAATTGAAGGTTAATGAAACTTTAAATACTCAAAGTAACCTATTTTATTCTCCTATCAGTTTATTATGATTACAAATATTGCTCTTATCGATTGATCAATATACAATCTTGTTCTGTAAATCGTGTCGGAGTCCAAATGAGAGGAAGCCCCCGGAGTTGGAAAATATTTGAGTTTTAGGCTTGCAAAGAGATTAGCTATGATGGAGACGTCCCTCCTAGGCGCATGAGAGAAAGTAATGATGAAGTCTCCGTCACAGTCGCCCCAGAGGGTCAGCGTCGGCCCCACTACCACCATAGACGAGGTGGTAGAAGAATGGTAGCCCAACTTATAAGAGAAATGGCAACTATGGCTGCCAACATGAGAAGCATTACCAACTAAAATTTAGCCATAGAAGAATTATTAATGCAAATACAAGGCTATGGAGGTCGTCCAATCCTTCCATTGCCCCTCAGGAGCACCAATAGGTAGAAGAGGTGCAAAGCCAAAGAACTCGTCCTCCCAGGCATCCTAGAGGAGCTAGCCCCGTTGAGAGGGAAGTGGGAGTTGACACTTCTTCAAACTATGCTTCTGGCCGACCCACCGAGGGCCCCATTCAATGTCGAGGATAACTTTCCTCCAAAATATGAACCAAAGCATAGGCTTTAGAGGTCCAACAGCGTGTTTGACTGGCTAAACCCAGCAGAACCTCAACATAGATAGCAATATGAAATGCTAATGCCTCGAAATAGATCCCAGCCCCCACCTCCTCAGACTTGGCAACCTGAGGAAAGGTAAGAATTTGCCCCCATGTGTTATGCCACCTTGGTATGAACGTCGAAAGAGGGATGAAGAGGCAGGAAACCAGGCAGGATCTTCTACACCACTACCAAAGTATGAGGCCGAAGCAAACTATGATTCAGATGGCTCCCAAAGATCTTGTGATTGGATGATGATGATGACAACCTGCTATTTTCACAAGAATTGAGGAACGACCAGGTGCCGAATCACTATGTGATGCCCAAGATACCAAAGTATAACGGGAGAGGCAACCTAGCTAAACATTTGAACAGCTACAAAATACACATGAGCTTGAGGGGCTCCACCCCAACTGTGAAAGTAGAGCCTTCCACTTGACTCTTAGTGGAGTAGTTGAAATTTGGTATAGCAAATTACCACCTAGGAGGATCAAGAGTTGGATAGAGTTTAAAACCACATTTTTTAAGAGATTCACAGTAAGCAAAGAGGGCAAGACCCTCATCCAGGATCTTCAGGACATAAGGCAATAGTTCAGTGAGACTCTAAAGAGCTTCATGTCCACTTCACAGACAAAATGAAATATTGTGTTCAAGTTACCGATTGTGAAGCGTTATCGACGCTAAGATGAGGCCTGAATATGAACACCTTATTTTGGGAAAATGTGCAAAATCAGGATCCCACAACCTAAATGCTTTTTTTGGAAATGATGAGACTAGAAATTATCAACGAGGAGCTGATTGAGCACCGAAATAGGGCTAGTAGAGGTCTCCAGCTTCAACAGAGGCAGTGTGGGAGAGGACCTACCTCCCACTTGATGGACCACCAGCGGGATCAATACGACAATGAAATTGCTCCCAACTCAGGCCAAGCACTTGCCACAGTTACCTTGAACGTCGTGCCAACATTGGCCTATGAGGATGTACCCAATACAAACCCTCAAATGAATGAGTCTATGCAGCAGGCCCCCCCGTAGAGGACGAGGACGAGATCGAGGGAGAGGTTCGGGATCTCGAGGTAGACCGAACCCCCAACAATACTGCACTTACCATCATTCTTACAGCCATAACACTGCTGATTGTAGAGACATTGCTCAACATCCTAGGGCTTCAATCTCTAGAAATGATAATCGAGACAACTCCAGACCAAGGAATAGGCCCCCGTCGAGGCATGATCAACAACCTAGGCGAGACGAGGCCGCTTTCGGCCATCAGCTAGTATCCCCTCGGAGGAGGATGGAGCATGAAGAGCACAAAAATCACGATGGACAACAACAACGAAGAGACCACCGAGACCGAGTGGAACACGCCCCCATCCATGAGATTGATACCATTTTTAAAAGCCCTTATGTCGGTGGAGAAACAAGAAACTCCCAAAGGAATTATGCCCGGGAAGCAAAGGGCCCTCCATTGACCAGCTATATAGTGGACAGTAGTTCCCGAAGAAGTCAATCACCACCTATTGTGTTTACTCATGAAGATTCAGAAGGTGTCCACTATCCCCATTGTGATGCCTTTGTTGTAAGGGCCGTGGTAGCTCATAACGGGCTAAAACGAATGTTGGTAGACAATGGTAGATTAGTTAATATTCTTTTTTGATCCACATTTGATAAAATGATCTTAGACCACAAGCTGACCCCCATCAGCACCCCTCTATACTATTTTACGGGGGATAGCATAATCTCGAGGGGAAAAATCACACTTGCCTTGGAGATGGGAGAGCCGCCTTTATCAACGTTGAACTTTATGGAGTTTTTGATTGTTGATAGTAGGTGTTCCTACCACGGGGTGTTGAGGAAGCCAGCATTGAAAGATCTTGGATCCCTCACCTCCATCCACCACCTATGCATGAAATTCTTAACTGATCAGGGATGGCAACGGTGAAAGGTGACAAAAAAGGGGTCCGAGGATGCTATCTAAACTCTGTGAGAAAAGCCGAGCCCAGGGACGTGAACATGGTAATTGGTGTCGTGGACCCGAAGATGCTAGCATTTGATGAACTCGACCCATGTGTCATTGAAACTAACTCCCAGACAGCCCCAATGGAGGAATTGGAAAATTTTTCGATCGATCTGACGGATCCCACCAAGCTATTGCAAGTGGGCTGAGGCTTGGCTCCAGAATTTAAGAAGAAGCTCAAGGAATTCTTATGTGAGAACCGTGACGTCTTTGCTTGGAAGCACGAGGATATGGTGGGATCGACCCTTGGGTCAGCTCACACCACTTGAAAATTGATCCCGAGCTTCCCCGCATAGACAAAAGAGATGAGCTTTAAACTCGGAACGATATGAAGCTCTAAAGGAAGAGGTACGAAAACTAATCAATAATGGCTTCATCAGAGAGTCCCTCTACCCGAAGTGATTCTCCAACCCAGTCCTAGTTAAAAAGTACAACGGGAAGTGGAGGGTATGCATTGACTTCTCTGGCCTTAACAAGGCGTGTCCTAAGGACATTTTTCCACTCCCAAGAATTGTTCAATTGGCGGACTCCACCGCAGGGCATGAGTCTCTAAGCTTCATGGATGCGTACTCCGGCTACAACCAAATTCCTATGTATCTAGGTGATGAGGAACACACTTCCTTTATCATAGAATGTGGACTCTATTACTACAAGATGATGCCCTTCGGGCTAAAGAATGTTGGAGCGACTTATTAGAGGCTTGTGAACAGAATGTTTACTGACCACTTGACAACACAATGGAGGTCTACATGGAAGACATGCTTTTCAAAAGTTTGAAGGCTGGTAACCACATAACTTACCTCAACGGAGCTTTTCAAATCTTACGAAAGTACCGCATGAAGTTGAATCCCTGCAAGTGTGCATTTGGAGTTGCATCGGGGAAGTTCTTAGGGTACATGGTCAACCAACGGAGCATAGAGGCAAACCCTAAGAAAATACAAGCATTGATTAAGATAAGGTCCTTCTCGAAATCGAAGAAAGTGCAAAGTTTGACAGATCGGGTGGCCACTTTGAGTCGCTTCATATCAAAAGCCACAGATAAGTGCCTCCTATTCTTTAAGGTGTTGAAGGGTGGCAAGAAGTTCCAATGGACTGAGGAGTGTGAAAAGGCCTTCGAGGGGCTGAAAAGGCACCTAGGGCAGGCCCTTCTCCTATTGAAACCCAAGCTTGGAGAAGCTCTACAACTCTACTGGGCAGTTTCCCACGAGGCCATAAGTGCTATACTTATAAAAGAAGAGGGTTCAACCCAGTTGACAATTTATTACATCAGTAAGGCGTTGCTAGCCCTTGAAACACGTTACCAAGATATGGAGAAGTTAGCTCGGGCATTGATAACTGTGTCCCGCAAGTTGAGGCCCTATTTCCAGGTCCATACAATCCACGTGTTGACAAATTTCCCGTTC